CTTCTCCAGCCCTTTCTTCCGATGGAAATAGGCCAGCCCTACCTGCAGAATGGGGAAAACCGAACTGGGCCCCAGACGAGGCCCATGGCTTCCTCAGCGTCAAGAAACAGCAAAGGGCAAAGGACCTGAGAAACACAGCGCCCCGCCCCCCCCCAAAGCTACCCTCTCACCATCTTGGTTATCCACATTTCCTACTGAATTAACTTGGCTGGACTCATCCCCCCAGCCCCCCTTAGTCCAAATGTCAAGTCTCACTGGGTAATGGGGAGGAGGATCTTTACTCTCTGTCCTACCTTCTGTGGGTTTGCAACATTGTAATGTAAGAACTCTCAATTTGAGAATGCATCATTGCATAACTTTTAAAAAATCACCAAAGATGCTCATTGCAACATTTAAACAAATGCAGAAATGGATCAAGAAGCCATCCTCTCCCTTGTCCTCCAACCATCTTGCTGCCCCTTCGCGTGGTGGTCCCCCTTTAACTACCTGTGTGAGCCTTCCGGACCTTGGCTGTTGCACAGACACGCTATGACTACCGTATCTCTTCCGTAACGCTTTCCATATACCAGGCACATCTCCGTGTTAGTGTAAAGGAAGAGAACGCCTTTGTTCTTCTCAAAGGTTCAGTATATTTCCCCAATGACTCTCCAACGGACGGGTTCTTAGGTATGTGAGCACTTTTGTAAAAAAGATTCCACGAAATGGCACTGCTCATGCAACGGGCATGTGCGTCTTATGTTGCCAAACGTTCTGCTAAACTGTCACATCTATTTACACTTGCACCAACACTTACGAGAATGCACTTCCTCGGAATTAAATATTCATTTTCTAAATGTTCCCAATCTAATACACATCCAGACACCAGCTCGAATGCCACCTTCTCGGCTCCCCGGCTCCCCTGCACCGTCCCTTTTCATTTCCTTACAATACTTGTCTCCGCCCAAAATCATCTTTCGTGTCTGACGTTTCTTGACCACCTCCCTCCGCTCACACGGAAGCTCCACGGGATGGGGACCTCGTCTCGTTGGCAGGGCCATTGCGGTCCTGAGGTAGAGCACACACGGAGAGGAAGCTCCGTGTAAACGATGGGGTCACCGGAAATAAACACTCCCAGGTCCCAGCAAGGACACTGGTTGGAAACAGGGACTTTTTTCTTTTTATTTATTATATTTTGCAAATTATCTATCGTATCTTTTACTTTAAAAATCAGAAAAAAAACATGATTTTCAAAAAAATGGACTTTGCTTACTTTGCACGTAATACGCTTGGGAGGCTGTGCTGAACATCGCCGAGAGAGAAGGCTCAGAAAGGAAGAGGGGGAGGACAGGAGCAGGAGGAGACCAGAGGGGGCAGTGGGCTGGAGGAAGCAGAGAAAGAGAGAGAAAGGAATTGAGAAACCGAAGAACCACCAGAATGAAAGAAGGGAAGGAAGGCGTGAGGAAGGAAGGAAGAAAGGAAAGAAGGACATAAGGGGGAAATAAAGAGAAAGACAGGATGAGAAAGAAAACGCTCAGGCACAGGTTAAAGGAAGAGTCCCCTGAACCCCAGCAGCTGGGGATCCGTCCAGATGCCCCTACTTTCCAAGTGTCCGAGCCTCACATGCTGCTGTGCTGACATTAAGGCAACAACGAATCACACAGACACACACACCCCTCCTTTGCACCAGCCTCAGACAGTGGCCAGTGGGTGCTGTCCAGGACTCCAGCACAAACCACTGAATGGCCTGCTGTAAAGATCGCTTTGGTCTGAGTGGCCCTTTTCCAACACCTCTCTCCGCATAGTAACCGCTGTCAACAGAAACACGGGTAAACTATAGGCCAGTTCAATCCAGTATGCAAGCAATGGAAGGGGTCCATCTGTTACCCTTTACTGAGGGGTGAACGCGTGAATTCCCCGGATGGAATCGCCCTGAGTCAGAGCCATAGTATCCGGGCGGAGCCCTTGCCTCGCCAGCCGATGTATTACTTCATTTAATCCCCACCACAGCCCTAGGAAGGTGGAATCATTGGTATTTCCATTTTCCAGACGAGGAAATAAAGAATAGGAATAGTATAAGACAAGTTCAGAAATAATCATTTGCCTGGGGCTGCCCAGCTGGCAGAAGAAGCAGGGACTAACCTCACCATCTTTCTGACTCCAAAACTCAAGCTCTTTTCTTTAAAAATAATATATTTTTATTTATTTTAGAGAGGAAGGGAGAGGGAGAGGAAGAGAGAAACATCATCGGTGAGAGAAAGTCATTGATCAGCTGCTTCCTGAACGCCCCTTACTGTGTCTGAGCCCGCAACGCAACCCAACATGTGCCCTTAAAAAGCCTCTGATGGCTGAGACCTGCCTCTTGGGGGAGCAGGAGGACTCCTGGCTGAGAGGACGTCTCACATAGTCTCTCAGGGGACTATGAAGCTGGCTTCTAGGGGCGTGGCACAGGGAGGCATGTTGTACGTCCATGCCCTTATATTATCAGTATTTCAAGGAACGCTTGCTTGGCCCGTTCGAGTGAAGAAAGGCATTTCGGACTCTGTGCTGAGGTTCTGACCTAGCCTTCGTCCCTCCCCCTGACCTGCCCTGAGACGCATGGCTCATCAGAAGGTGCAGACAGATGTGGACTCATCGTGGCTCTGCCCCTAACCAGCTCTGTGGCCCAGGGCCTGTCGCTCCAGCACGGAGAGTCCCGTTCCCTCATCTGTCAAGTGGGGGAAATGATAAGCATCTCACAGGGCTGGGTGGGATGGGCAGTACGTGGGAGGGCCCCTCCAGGGCTGTGGGGGCACGCCTCCCCTCACACAGTCCCCTGGCTCCCACTCTCTTCCACCTGCAGCCCGAGTGAGGCCTGTGACGCCACCCGTGTGACCCCGTGTCCAGGACAAGCCCTCTGCCCTGGCACTGTGCAGGTGCCCATGGTGCCCGGACATGACTCAGCAGCTCCCGCCTTGGCAGGCGCCAGGGTTGGCTTAACCAGCCTCTCATTCCGAGCGCGTTTATCATCACGCTCCACGCCTACTGTAACAGGATTGGAGAGACTGCTATTGAGGTGGCCGCCTCCTGGAACTGAGAGGTGAGACCAGAGGAGCTCAAACCATAGACGTTTGGAGTCAGGTACACAGGATGCAGCAGACGTTCCCGCTGTGGTCAGAGCTCACGTGGGCCCTGACTTCTCACCATGCCCCGAGACAGCCCCCTCTCCCTGTTTCCTTTCCCCGTAGCTGCCCCAGCACCTCAGGGCACAGAGAAGTAGCAGATGGACCGGAAATGAACTCCCGGTGCCTGAGACTATGGCCTGCATGAGATACAGTTCAGATCTTGCAACACTGGCCCCCTGAAGTGGGTATGGAGGGTTGTGAGTGGGAAATAAGAAGCGATGTCCTTCACACACACACACACACACACACACACACACACACACACACACACACGCACTCCGCAGGTGCGGAACTGCAGCGGGAGAATGCAGGCCTCGTTTCCTTGTACCGCAGGGGATGTGTGGTGAGGGGAAGGCCTGGGAAACAGACGGTCACGTCTCAACCAGCTGCCCACTGGCTCTGAGTGTTCGCATTTCTCTGTGCTTCGGAGGTCCTGAAAGCATAGAGGCCCAGTCCTTCCCTAGGCTGCCCTGGCGACAGTGGCTGTGAGAGCCAGTGACCATTTCAAGCCTACCCGCGTCCACACACCAGAGGCCAAGCCACAGGAGACGTTTGGAGGTTCAAGTGGAGGCTCCAGTCCAGCATGTGTCCGAGGCCGTCCTCAGAGCCCCTGAGGTGTGGGCACAGTCACCCCGCAGAGGAGAAGGGTGGGGGGCTGCTGCTTTCATGTCCATGCTCACCTGGCCCTGGGTGGACTATGTGTCCCCCACCGGCCGCCTCACTCTGCCCTCTGACGTCCCTAGAAGCAGGCCAATGGGTACCCCTTGCCTGTGGCAAAACTGAGCCACTGAGCAATTCACTGGGCGTCCAAGGATGGGGAAGCCTTCTTCTCCAGCAGAGAAACAAGCTCGCCCGTCCCTGGAGTCTATTTCAGAGGCTCCTTCTTTTCTGATGCCAACGTGCACCCCTTGAATCAGCACCACGTGGGCCCTGGGGGCCTCCTTAATTGTCTGAGTGGGTGAAAGGTGCAGGCCCAGCCATCGGAAACCCACACTTTCTGAGGTGCTGCCACGGTGGATAATTAAGCTGACTGCCCTCCTCCGGGCAAAGTTAAATTTTCGTTTGAACACAGAGGAGAGAGTGGGGCAGGGGACGGGATAAGTGACAGGGTCCTCGCATCCACTGAGAAGCCAGGGGCCCACGGTGAACAAACAGCCCGCACTCTGCCCGAACAACACCCTTCCTCCTCTCCCCAGCCCGCACCCCCCACACCAAGCCAAACAAACATAGGAAGAAAAACAGGATTGTTTTAAAGCCCGAGCTTCCGGATGAACACGAATAGCATTCAGGTGTGTCTGTGGTGGTGCCGTCTCTCAAGGAGATCCACAGAAATGCTTTCCTGTGCGCGTCTCCAAGCTGCGCGCCCACAAGTAAACACGCTTTTCCAACGCTGCCTGGCCTTGGCCCCTCTCCGGCGCCCCGTGCCCTTCTCTCACCCAAGTTCACACCGAGTCCCCGCCGGCTCTGTGCGCCGCGATCCCTGCCTCCAGTCTGCGGGCATGTCGGAGCCATATTCAGCCTCCAGACTCCCAGTGACCACACTCTCCTCTGTTTCTCCTGGGGCCTTCGAACGATGTCTCCGTCCTGTCAGTCACCCACACACCTCTCAGGCAGGAGGGAGAAATGAGCCCCGGGCCAGAACCCCCGCACCCCAAGAGCTGTGGGAATTTGTGGGAATCCCTGGCTTCAGTGAATCCTGGGATGAGAATCTGGGATGAGAGCAGAGGCTCATTCGGACTCTAGCAATACATGTTCCCGGACGTTCCGTGGAGGTTTTCCTTGGTGGTTCAGATCCCGGTCATAGGCCAAGGGCAGGCCCGTCCACGGAGGACTTGGCCAACTGCAGTACCTTCCGAACTGGTCTCCCTGCCCTGCAGTCCTGTCTGCCGACACGACCAGCAGGTTGCTCTTCCCAGGACATCTCTACCATGGTCAATGGTGGCCGATGGCTTCCCACCGCCTCCCCGTCCACACTCCTTGTCTGGCGTCCGAAAACCTCCACTCTGAAGCTCCCATCCTGTGTTCTCTGTTCCCCCCAAGCAGGTCTGCCTTGTTCCCTGGACATTCTTCCCTCACATCCTCTCCACCTCCACCAGGCCGACCGTCCATCAAGTCCAAGTCAAGCCTTCCTCCTTCTGACTGTCCCAGGGTCGATTACAACTTCTAACATCCCTTACATTTAATGTCTGTATCACATTGCACTTGGCATATGCCAGCCTAGAAGACTCATCAGATTAAGTGACTATAACTTTGAAGCAATAGCTATTCTCAAACTAGATGGGAACTCATGTCAGGCAAAGTCCTTGCCAATACCTTGCCCATAAGGTTATGAACAACCCAACCGGATTGGCTCAGTGGTTGAGCATTGACCTGTGAACCAGGAGGTCATCGTTTGATTCCCGGTCAGGGCACATACCCGGGTTGTGGGCTCGATCTCCCTCACAACTTCCTCCCTGAAATCAATAAAAATTATTTTTAAAAAAAGTACAAATAGTTGGAAGAGCGCACTCAAATTAAGGCGAACTCCAAAGTCCTGTCTACACTTCCACCTCCACCCACTCATGTCCACCAGCCAAAGGAATGCCAACGGCTAGTGTCCGGTGATTTCCCTCAGGCAGCAGCACCCGCTTCTACCCGGGCAGGGACCCTGGGGTGCTTACACGCTGCTCGGGACGTCGGGTGCCTACCTTCCCTTCTCTGTGGGAGTATTTTGTGAGGCGTGTCTGCATCTTGAAATGCTGAGCAACCCAGCCTAAGAGAGGCCTCACCCTTTGCTGCCTGGGCACCAATACCTCAAGTTCCCATGGTCTACCTTTTTTTATTCTTGGTCTGGGGAGTGTTTGTCTGGGGTGCCTGGGCTATGGAGGCAGGGAGGATGGTAGGGGAAAACCTGTAGCGACCCCCTGGACCACCTGCAATTAGAAAGGTCTGTGCCATGGGCTGTGTGAATAACACGGAATGGGGACGTTTTCTCCGTCTTCCTTAATGATCATTGAGAAAGGTTACTGAACAAGTGTTGCTAGGCAATAGGACCTGCCTGAGGAGGGGGGTGGGGGATTATGCTAAATCAGGGATATGGATCCTGGGGGGAAAATCAACTTAATTCTACGAAGTCAGCTGGTAACTAAACAAAATGGACTTGTGCCCCCAGCGTCTCATTTGGGGGAAGGTGAGTAATGGCCTAATACTGCAGCCCGGGCAGCCGCTGCAAAGCAGACTAACTTCATGAATTCACTGCACGAGGCTAGTCTTGCCGACTGGCTCATACCTGTGAGACGAGGTGTCACGGGAGGAGTTACATTATAAAGCAGTGGCAGCTCGGGCACCAGTCATTGAGGCGGAGAGAAAGGGAAGACGATGGAGCAATGTAGAGAGTTTATAGCCATCTGTAATCTGAATCAACATTCAGTGGGCATGCGCCTGCTTTTCACGCTCACATGCAAACCAAAACTTGGAAAAAGGTGGGCACTCAGGTTTTCTCAAATAAATTCAAGTCCCACCCACAGAGGAGAACAGTTTCCAGTCACTGATTTAGACCAGGAGTAACGATGGAACGGTTTCTTAAATCCGCTGGTGGGGGAAGAGGGGAGACGCAAGTACATTTAAGACACATATGTTTTTCCTTTAAAAAATATTGTTATTGATTTCAGAGAGAAAGAGAGAGATAGAAACATCAACGATGAGAGAGAATCATTGATCATCTGCACCCCCCACACTAGGTATTGAGCCCGAAATCCAGGCATGTGCCCTGACCGGGAATCGAACCGTGACCTCCTGGTTCATAGGTCGACATTCAACCACTGAGCCACGCTGGCTGGGCTCAGGCACATTTCTAAGCCATCCGATGGTCCCACAGTTCTAACATACACTGGAACAACACTCAATTTCTTAGAAATGCGTCATTCTGGAAGAGTTGGGAGTTTCCCAGCTTGCACTGGGGTTGGCCGAGCAACGCCCGCCGGGCCCCTGCTGGTGTTGTCTAAGGAGAAATCTGTCTGGGACCGGAATCCGCTCTGTGCTCCACAGGCACGAGGTGAGGTCTGTGTGCCTTGTGGGTGCACAGGAGCCAGGTGCTACGCCAGTATCAAACACTGTGCAGGATCTGAACTTGATTGCATGCTTTCTCCTTTAGCTTCTGAAGCAAGTGCCCAGTGGGACCGTGTGTGGGAAGGGAAATCCCATCACACACTGCAACGCTTCCGTGGACCTGGAATATTGCACCGCCTCTGAAATCCTTTCCCATTCTAGTGTGTTGACCAACCCCGACCCCATCAGCTCAAACTTCTTAACTCCAGGCTCCTCCTTGGAAGGCAGGCGCTCTTACCTAATCAGGGTGTGAGTGGCTGGGAGAGGGAGGCCACAGTGAAGATATGCATGCAGGGCACATGCAAATGAGGGGGGAGGGGCGGAGTCAGCTTCCTCAAGGAGGAAAAGTTAGATGGAGACAAATGGTCTTAGATGGGTGGGGGGCAGGTAGAGGCATCACATGCTTCCCAGTTGGGGACCCTGTCCTTGGCAGCAGCTCAGTAGACAGGGACCCACAGAAAAGGGCAAGGAATGACCTCAAGGGAAGGGATCCCTGAAGGTTAGTGACCTTTGTCTGAAACAGGTTGTGAAGGTCAACTACCAGAATAGCTGCATAAGATGGGCAGTTCTTAGAACAGGTGTTCTGGAGAACAAAAGTCCATTTTCTTCCCCTTTCCTTCCTTCCCTCCCTCCCTCTCTCCCTCCCTTTCCATCTATCTATCTATTATCTATCTATCAATCATCTATTGAGGCCAACAAAGCAAAGGAAAGGAGATCATCCCCAGACTGGCAAGTTGTGTATCAGCCCAGGGACTTTCATGCTGAAATAAGATAAAGAACAGTTTTTGACTTTTCATCTACTCAAACTGTACCAGCTTCAATGGAATCCGAGGCAACACCCAAAGAAACAAAATAATTCTTTCTTAAATGGCTTTAAGAAGAAATGGATGACTAAACCATACAGAAACATGAGAAAAGTACCCAACTGGCCCGGCTGGAGTGGCTCAGTGGTTGAGCATCAACCGGTTGACCCGGTTCAAATCCTGGTCAGGGCACATGCCCAGGTTGCGGGCTCGATCCCTAGTGTGGAAGGTGCGGGAGCAGCCAATCAATGGTTCCCTCTCATCATTGATGTTTCTCTTTCTCTCGCCCTCTCATTTCCTCTCTCTGAAATCAATAAAAATATATTTTTTTAAAGTATCCAACTGTACGTAGGTGTTACTTCTCTGGCTCTTGGAGCTTTACTATGATCATATGTTAATTATGGATTCACTTAACGTGTGCGTGTGTGTGTGTGTGTGTGTGTGTGTGTGTGTAAAGGAGGACCTACAGCTTAGCAGGAAATGCAGAGCAAACAGGGTTCCATTTCTCCCCATGGACCACGGTAAGGGAAGCCCTGCAGTTGGGTCTGAAAGGGCATAGCCGAGGCTTCATCATGAAGCACTGTCCCCTCACTGTCCCCTCCTCCCAAGGCCGTCACATTCCACCCTTGTGAGGGTCCAGGACCACTGTGGAGCTTTAATTTATTTATTTTTAAAAATTAATTAATTAGTCGTCACTTGAGGATATTTTTTCCATTGATTTTGTAGGGTGAATGGAAAGGGGAGAGAGAAAAAACAAACCACA